GGGGGTGAGATGAGATGTTGATATGAAGTCACAGCAGTGATATGCATAGAAGGTATGTCGGGGCTCTTAGGTCTTTTTCTCCTTCTTTCCTCTCAAACATTTACTGTCCTAGTCGTTCCTCCTTCCATTCTTTGTATTTTACTCTCTTGTAGCACCTCTAATCTTCGGTACTTATACAACCTATTTGTGATGCAAGTGCCGTAAACCTCTTACCAAAACTTAGGTGAACAACTTTTAATATCTCCTGCCTGCCTCTCATAAAAAAAAGATGGCACTTTCATCTTTTTTAAAGCCTGGTATGCAAGCACTCGGGTGCAGGTTTAACTCTTGTGAGACATAGATCAAAGACAATGTTTCGGCACATTTCAAACCATCATGCACATCGTATTCTCCATTTTTTTGCCTCCACATCACTGTGTGACAATATTTTCAAAATAATTTTTTTTTCTACAAAATTATATATATATATGTGTCATGACGCTGTGTAATCAGGCAATCCTCAATTTTGGGGCACATGGAGTTATTGGTATTGTATTAAAATTTGTTCAGATATCTTGCCATACAAAGGTACGCTCTGCTCAAATGCACACTTTTGTCATGTGATGAGTTTGTAATCATAATTCATAATCACAGTCGGGGAATCCTTCACAAAACAGTTACGTGTCGTCACATAATCGGTCAAAATGACCATCAACCCCAAGGGAGGTCACTAAAATATCAAAGAAAGGAGATGATAGCGTCTCTTCCTCTCTTTGCAAAGGTTCATTAAATCGCATGCTCCGTATAAACTCACGCTTAGGGGCCTTCCTGAGCACCGTGCGTTTAGGCGGAGACTACTGTATTATATTATTATCATTATTATTATTTTTATTACTTCTATAACCATAATCATTTTTACTACTATCATTATAATAATTATTAAAATTATCATCATCATCATTATCATTATCATTGTAATTACAAGTACAACACACTGACCTTGTGTTTCACTTTGGCTAAGGGCATGGGGCTGCTGTAAACCCCACCCTTCAGCTGTTTGTCTTTGCCAACGGAAGTCTTGGACGGGTTGAGGGAGGTATCGGCGGGACGGGATGGTGAGGACATCTCATGCTCCAGTGAACGTTTCAAGGGCAGCTGGTCTGACGGTTCTTGTAGAAGAAAGAAAGAGTATAATGTCAGTGTCCGACTGTAAATAAATACATGAATGAATAAAATACAAATAAATGTATAAATAAGTAAATGAATTAATAAATACGACTGTAAATAAATACATGAATGAATAAAATACAAATAAATGTATAAATAAGTAAATGAATTAATAAATAAACGAATAAATAAAAAATTTTAAAAAAAGAAACAAATGACTAAATAACTAGATTCTAAATTAATTGCAATTTACTGACCTGTTATCTGCTAAATTGGATCAACCCTGGTACCTAATAAATACTCATTTTTTTCTACCCCTTTTCTGGAGATCCACATTCATGCATATATACAAAATCTGAGTCTGCTGAAAAGATAAGGGTGGATAATGTTCTTTACAATCTACGCTGTTACCCCAGCAGACCCAAGAACATTCAGAAACATTTTGAGCTTCCTGGAAAGCATAACAGCAAACAGCTGATTAAGTACTCAAAAGCTAACAAACTGATAAGATCTTTCGCTGTCTATAGCCAGACACCAATTCCCACCAGGGTAAAGCGAGGAAAATTAATGTAAAGTGCCTATCCTAAGGACACAACACTGCGTTCCTGAGGGGGGTTCGAACCCAAGACCTTAAGTCTTACTCACTTCTACTGCTGTAGTCCTGATGGTATCCAGACAGGGGTGGTGGGTTCCTGAGTGATACGGGCACACCCTGCAAGCTGGTCTGGCTGGTGGCTGACACCTGACCATCAGCTGGCCGCTGGCTGGCGGACTCACGAATGTCATAGTGTCTCGACTGGTTCCTGTCCCGGGGTGAGCTGTGGTGCTTCTGAGACCTCCGGCCTGGTGAGAGCTCTTCTAGGATCTAGGTTGGAATTA